TGGAAAAACAGCTTTCTATTTAACAATATACATAATTTATATAACAATATACATAATTTATATAACAATATACATAATTTTTATGAAACTTAAAAATGAAATATTCAAGCTTGCCATAAAATTATTTATACGCTTTTCTTTGTATTCTTATTTTTCATTCATATCATCAAATATTAAGACATAACTATTATAGTGTGTGTGTGTGTGTGTGTGTGTGTGTGTGTGTGCGCGCGCGCGCGCGCGCGCGCGTGCGCGCGTGCGTGCGTGCGTGCGTGCGTGCGTGCGTGCGTGCATGCGTGCGTGCGTGCGTAAATGGACACGCAATATTCGTTTCTAATCTGTTTCTTTACAATGTAATTTGTAATCTAAGTTTCTCAAATGTGCTCGCATGTGACAGTAAAAAGAGAAAAGAAACGAAACAATCCTGAGCGTCGCGCGTAAATCCGGTTACACGACACCTTAAACGAGACGGAGAAAGATCTCTTAAAATGTTTCGCATGTTGCGTAAATTAATGCGAAAGATTACGAAAACATCTATCAAAAGCTGTAAGAGCGTGTCTTTCGATGTTTCTTTCCAAGCCATTCAATTATCGTCACTTGAGCTAACACCGAAGCGCTTCGCACGAACTTTTTACTACTCCTTGGTGACGTCCATCAAGCGGATAAAGCTTTCAACACTATATAATTTATTCGGCAAGGTATCATTCGCGACTCGACATATTTTAATAACACGCATGGATTAAAAAAAACAACCTAAAAGAGAACGACATACATAAGATGATTGTCGCCCGTTTACTTTTTATTTATTTTTTTTAATTGTTACAAGGATTATTGCGAGGATATAAAGATCGTTACAGCTGTTTTATGCATCGTTCCAAGATGTCTTTATTGATACTGTTTTCTTTGATACTTTGATAATCATTTACATACAATATTACAATATTATTGTCGTATAATATCCACACACGTGAAACATATCGACAATTTATTGTATATGATATTATTGTATATGATGTGTACTTTGGCGAATATGTATATGTGTAGAAGAATAATATTTATAAATTTGCAATGAGAGCAAAAAGAGTGTGGGTAGTTACTGGAAATCGCGGTAGTGATGATGTTATCGAAAATGTATTGCGATTAAGACCAATGTCACGAACTTATATAGCGAATTGTTTTTCATTTCTCAGTATCAGATGTTGTTAACAAGTAATTATGCAAGAGAGTCGTTAGCATTTAAGATATAAAGAAAATTATTTATTAATAAACGTTGTGATTTGGAATAATATAAATTTAATCTGTGTCAATATCATTTTTTAAATGTAAATTGTTTAGTTAATGTTTTGTTTTATTCAGGTTTATTTAAATTAAATTAAATTAAAGAAAAATATTATAACATCGCGAAATTTATATCGCTCATTGATTTTAATAATCGAAGTTCGCGATTTACAGTCTCATGCAAAAAAAGAAGAAAATAATTGCTGATCTTCAAACCTGTTTTCTAATGACATTAATCATTACCTTTGTGTGTGCGAGATAACATGTTATTCAGTATACAAGTATTTAGTAGCCACACAACATTTTATTAAAAAAAAAATAAATTTACTATTAATGTTACTGATCAACAAAAGTATCATTTAATCGTGCATTCTTCTGATGACTAACCGAATGATTTGAAATTCCATCAGCGATGGTTATGCAAATTCCACAAGGTGTGTCTAGGATAACTCACCTCGAATATCTTTTTCTACTGATTCTATTACCTACATTATCGATAACATGGGAAAAGTTTGTTCTTTTGTGCGTAATAAAATTTGAATAAATTTATAAATGGAATCCTTACAAAGCTTGAATGTTATTTTCTATCGGTTTAGTTTTATGTGATGTAATAATACTTCTTTTGGATTCAATGTGCATGTAGGAGGAATCTCAGGATGATGTAGGATTGCCTTGGAAGCGAGGAAATCAAATAGTTGATTGTGAGGTATTCGCAGAATTGCATTTACTCGTCACGGTCGTTTAGTTCATTTTTAGATACGTCCATAGTAAGAAACACATAAATTTATCGATTTTACCGTATCTAATTACGACTTTACGAATGATAATATTATTTTTTACAAAAAAATAAAAGTCTGTTCTTCTTGAAAAATTGAATTTAAGCTTGAATTTAAGCTTAGAAATTGCATGCAATACTAATAAAAAAAATTTTATTCGATTCGATTATCCAAAATTATAAAAATAAAACAGATGAAATAAAAATTTTTAATTCTGATCGAATTTGATAAATATAAAAAGAAAATACTGTAGTGTAATTTAGCAAAATAATTGATCATTTAAACATTTGCGATAGTGACAGAAAGAAACGAATGCTGAAAATTGCGTCAGCCAATTAATAATTAATGCCCGCGTTCCGACACATTCTTCGCCGATTCTATGTCGACATCCTTCTTATCCTCCTTGTATGCTTTATTAAATTTTGTCTTTATCATTTATCTCGCGCGCACGAAGAAGCTATCATCCGGATAACGCGCTCGAAGAGTATACAGTATTGCTATTATTACCGCACATTAAGGCCAATGTTATAACTCGTTTTCCCGGGGTTTCGCATAATGGACGTGGGCACTCGCCCTAATCTTGCGATTGTCTATTAACGTGTGCCGCGTGTACCGACGCGCCTCTGCCGAGTCCTCCTTTTCTCTCCACGCGGTAATTCAATCGTGATTTCCGCGGATGAATGCGGGACGGGGACACACGCGGGGCGGGGGGGGGGGGGAGTGTGCAATGCGACGCGATGCCGGTCGCGCGCGAAACCAGTTCCCAGGATAAAAGCGAAAGAAGAGAGAGAAGTCTGACCGGGAAGGTGCTCTCGGTGCTCTTCTATAGGGTGTCCCGTAATCTACTGTCCAAATAATAACCGTGCAATTTTCTTTTCACGCTTCGAGTAATTGCGCTTACTTGGAGGAAAGAAACGTTGAACTTTGAATAATAGCTAATCCGAAGTTATCTGGACGGATTGATCGGATCTAAGAGTACAGTGAAAACGTGAGGCTGGTTGTATAATGACTAAGTAGATCGACAAGCCGTCACGCGATGGAGAAAAGACTTGCGAATTAATACTTTCGAATGTAAATTAGTTCTCGGTGCTCGCGTTTTACGAAAAAAAGAATAATAGATTAGATTAATAGAAAAAGATGTGATTCTTTTTAAAAGAATTAAAGTCTGAATAGAGATATGTCAAGCATAAAAAATGCAAACGCGCGAATATTATAAAACAATTTATAATATTCGAGTTCAAATTTCAATTGTAACATTCAACAAGACCGTGATAAGAAATTTTAATATAAACATATGAACGTAGAATTTTTTTGTGAAATAAATATTTTTACGTAGATTTTGTGTTCAGGACGACATACACTTCTCCGAATGATATCTGTGACTATTTTTATATATGGTAAACAGGATATGATAAGTAGTCTTCCTAAAAGACTTCTTTGTTTATCAGAAAACTGTTTCAACATTTGTATATTTCTTTTAATTTTATATTTATCAAATGTTTTCGTTTTGTTTTAATCTTATTTTAATATACTGAATGAAATTCTTTTCGGAATACTAATAAGATTCGTATGTTATGGAATTGTTGAGACACAATAGAAATATTATCTAACACATTACGCGATAATGTTATACAAGCATGGTCAAAGCTTCTTCATCATGGTATGGCAGGTGTGTGCACTTTAATGCGTTGTACATTATATACGCCAGCTGCTTGAAACTATAGTTTATATATGCATACATGCGTGTGCCTAAAGGGACCTGAATATGCACAGATTGTTGGAAAAAGTGGAAGAAATGCTATCACAAAATATCGGATACATTGATAGACAAACAAGAAAGTTCATATCTTTTGATAAAATGTATTATTTAAATCTCGATATCTTAAATTATTTAACTTATGCATTCAATTTACACATTATTAAATTTTTCTTTTTATCATGTTGATAGTTTTTTATTTTTAAGATCTTCAATATATTTTTTGTTGAAATCTCAAATTGATATAAATTTATTATAAATAATCAGAAAATTATATTGTTTATCAACAAATATGTTCCGTTTTTCGTCGATGCGTTAAAGGAAACGCGCTTATTTTATTGAATTATATTTTGAATATTGGACCGGGGGAGGGTAGGGGGGGAGAGGGTTCGCATTGTTTTTACTAATTTAGATTGGATCTGCTTTGATAGGATGTGATAATAGGGTGTTTTTCCATTTTTCTCGTTGTTGTGATTTAGTACACGATTGAGGAAAGATAAAAGGAAGATTACTCGAAACGAAACGGCGCGCATTCGCGCTCAATTGATTTTCGTTCGCTATTTATTTTTCCGGATTCCATCGTATGCGATGATACGCACGGAAGACGCACGTTCTTCGCTGATGCGCCCGTAAATTGCATGGCCAATTTCGTTGCGTTGCGTTGTGACGACGCGATCGTGTCGGGAAAACGGAACGATGACAGGAAGCACAGTGTTTTCACAAGAAAAGATTACGACAATGTAAATGCTCGGTTGGCGAACTCTTACTCCCATTTCCATCTCTCGCTCAAAGACCGGCATATCCGTTATGCATACGAAAAGAAAAATATTTCAAATAAATGTCTTCTTTGCGCTTTGTATGCCCTCATGAAGTGAAAAATAATTTTATGGCAAAGCGAAAAGCGCGGCTACATATATATAAAAGGATAAAAGGAAATGTATTACATTACATTTCTTACTTTCATTATTCAAATCTTTAATTATATAGAATATGAATATGAATAAATATAAAGAAGAATATAATAAAAAATATAAAATATGTCGCATATAGTAAATATCTGATATATAAGATTTTATCTACGTATACTTCGATGAGCATACATGAACTTTAGATAACGTATCTATTTACATTTTACCACAAAGTATCAGTGGTATCATTATTTTATAAATATTTTTTTATTTTTTTTGTGTTTATCTTATCTTTACTACTATAGAATTTTCTATCACGTAAAGTTTTCAATAGATGCATATAAAATTAGATTATATTTTTTGAATGATATAACAGCATATATATCGCAAATATTCTTCGATTTCTGTTTTATTATCGATTTCAAGGCGCGATAGAAATACTTGGTTATTTAATCACTAGTTATTATGTATTACAATATACACTTATAAATTCGTTAAATTTTTATTATATAGTAATTAAAATTATTAGATATTGCATCAGACATAATATGCTTGATACAAATCTCGTTACGAATTTTTAAGATATATCAGCACGAAATTGTTTATTTTCTGACTTTAGTTGAAAACACTTTAATGTTATAAGAATTTTTTAATTTCAAGATATGAGATATATCTTATTTCTAATTGATTTCTTGATCGTGATAAACTATTGTTTTTAAATATTACTGTGTTATCATACTTGATTGATGTTTCTGAGGATATTCTATTCGATTTTTTACTTACATTTTACTATCGCGTGATCGATAAAATTGATAAATTCTCGATGAATTTCAGTACGTTCTAGTGTTTCACAACAGTTTGATTCTTGTTCCACCGGGCGGAATCTGTCTTTTCCTGACATGGAAATTAATAACATAAAAAGATGGGATGTCGTGCAGGAGTATCTTAAGGATTTTCGAAAGCTATTTGAGTTAGTGAGTGCACTCAGTTTCTATTTCCTTTAGTTTCTTCAGCAAGTTTTGTCATTGTTCTGATAAGTTTTGTTTGATAAATGTTCTACGTATCTACGGAACGAAAATGGGTAGGAAGAGAATGCAGTAATTTTGAAACTTTTCTTCTAATATAACTTTCGAAATTTTCTTTTAATATAAATTTCTTTTTTTTCTTTTTTTAAATGTAATTTTGTAATCGACGAAAAACCAAAGATTAAATGTCTTAACTTTTACAAGTAACATTTTCTACGAACGTGTATTCAGAATTCTTTGCAATTATAAGGGTCAATTGTTCATTCGTTAAGTTGAATAATTAAATGGCGGATTTGCGTAATCTATAGCATGAGTAAATGCAAAGATTGATTCATGCAGACTGATTTTCTTCATCAAATCGCGAGTCAGTGTCCTCTTTGACGTCATCATCGTATGTTCTTGGTGGCAAAAATGAATTTAACTTTCGCAATTATTCTGGAATACAGTTCATTGGTGAGAACAAGATGTTAATCAATATGCAGAGCATTTCTTAAATGGACATAAGGAACTGCCGATTAACCCCAATGCGAGTTTGCTTTTTTTTTAGAAATACACCGCTTATATGACCGTTCCCATCATTTCTATATTCCTATTGTTCTTGTGCAAAAATTGTGATGTCTAGATATGCTTGCGGATCTTATAGCGGAATTTTTCGCGACCTGGATTTCTTTCGCACAAAGTCTTGAAAGAATTGCGTAGGTAGATTTCTTATGCAACGCAAGATTTCTTCTGGGACTTTAACGGTAGACACATGATCATGCGAGAACCAATTAAAAGAATCGTATAAATTGTCTTTTTTAAATTGTGTTGTTCGTTACATTAAATATAAACTTAAATTATTGTATTCAATTTTATAATATGTGTGCATAATTTTTATGCAGTCTATATTAACTTAAACAATAAAGATTTAAGAAAGATTAAATGTGCATCACATACAAAGTTTCTTAACTATAATTGATAAATTAAAATCATAAATTACACAAATCTTAAATTTTATTATATTTTTGTCTTCCTGTGTAACTTTATTATTACAAAGTCGTAACATTTATGATATTTACTATGTTAAAAGAACTTAGAGAACCTAGATTTCACATTCATTTGATTCTAATTATCCTTTCATTATTGTGATGCCTTACGAAATTTGTTAACATTCGTTATACAGGTCTTGATCATTAAATTAATTGTATTTTATTACCTATACATATATGTAATTACCTTGCTTTAATAAATACATATCTTTCTACGAAACGGAAATCGCGTTGTAAAAAAGCTACTGTTATGTTGTACAATGTTATCAAGAATGGTGTTGCAAGTTTGATTTATCTGACTTTATCTGACATTATCGTTACTCGATGGTAGCCAAACGAAAAATTAGTTATTATGAACAAAGATAAAAAAAATTTGTTTGTCACTTATAAATTAATTGCAATTGATGTCAATACGAAAAGCGTTCCTTAATTAAATGTGAGAGAAAGATGAATGTATTTACTCTAGATATCTTTATGACATAATATCTCAATTAAATCTCCAATGGAAGACCCGAACTAATGTTCTTTCTTTTCTCGGATAGATTGACGCGAATGGAGATGGCTTCATCAACGTTACCGAACTGCGAAACGCTTTGGATGTTTGCGGCTTCAAAATGCCAGGTTACAAAGTGCGCCAAATGATCGAGGAGTACGACGATAAGCAACGATTGGAACATAAAGGTCGGCTTTCCTTCGAAGAGTTTGAGAAACTTTGCAAGGAACTCAAGGCCAACGAACTGGGTTCCACGTTCAAGCAAGTCGTGTCGAAGAAGGAAAACCTCGAAACTCTGGGTGGAATCTCCGAGGCATCCAGTGAAGGTACCACGCATTCCGTCAGACTTGAGGAACAACTAGCTTTCAGCGACTGGATAAATACTAATCTGTCGCACGATCCCGATTTGAAGCATCTGCTACCCATTGATCCTGAGGGGAAGATGCTCTACGATAAGGTCAAAGACGGAATATTGCTCTGGTAAATATAACTTATTTTTTATATAATTCATTGATATTTCTTCTCATTGTTATTTGTAATATTGTATGAATATGTTTTGACATGAGTTAAATATAATAAAATGAATTCTTATTTATAATTATTCCAAAATTTAATTGAAATATATCTATATAATGTTCTTTAAGTGTCTATTTTAATATTTAAATTAATAAATAATTGAATTAATCATTGTAATTAGAATTATAAGCAGCATTTGTAAATCTAAATTAATTTTGAATATGATAATATCAGAATTTTTAAAATTATAATTTGTTTTGATAAATAAATGATTTTAAAATCGATTAATTTATTAAAAATGAAAAATTTCTCTATTAAAGATTAATTTTACTTTTACTTTTCAGTAAAATAATTAATCATTCCTGTCCGGACACTATTGACGAGCGCACGATCAATAAGAAAAATTTGACGCTATATAAGAAACACGAAAACTTGACGCTGGCTCTATCTTCAGCCCAAGCTATCGGCTGCAACATCATAAACATCGATGCTCACGATCTTACCAAAGGTTCGCCCCATTTGGTGCTAGGTCTGCTTTGGCAAATCATCCGAATTGGCTTATTCAATCAGATTACTCTGGAGAATTGCCCCGGTTTAGCTACACTTTTGCAAGACGGCGAACGAATCGAAGATCTGTTGAAACTGTCTCCGGAATCCATTCTTCTCCGATGGGTGAACCATCATTTGGAGAATGCCGGCATCGCCAGGCGGTGTAACAATTTCCAATCCGACATCACGGACTCTGAGATTTACACATATCTCATTAAACAGATCGCACCCAATTCGACTGGCGTCACCTTAGAAGCCTTAATGGAACCGAACCACATGTCTAGAGCGGAGATTATGCTTCAGCAAGCCGCGAAACTAGGCTGTCGTACTTTCGTAACGCCTAGCGACGTCGTGAACGGTATTTACAAACTTAACTTGGCCTTTGTCGCCAATATGTTTAACAACTATCCCGGATTAGATAAGCCGGAAAGCAACATTGAAGGTTTGGAGTCTTTAGAGGAGACGCGAGAAGAAAAGACCTATAGAAATTGGATGAACTCGATGGGCGTTTCGCCGCATGTTAATTGGCTATATTCGGATCTTGCCGATGGTTTGGTGATCTTTCAGTTGTATGACATTATCAAACCAGGCACTGTGAATTGGAATAAAGTGCACAAGAAGTTCACGAAGCTTCGGAAGTTTATGGAGAAATTGGAGAACTGCAATTACGCTGTTGAACTGGGTAAACAGATGAATTTCTCACTCGTGGGCATCGCTGGACAAGATATCAATGATGGAAACGCGACCTTGACATTGGCTCTGATATGGCAATTGATGAGGTCGTACACGTTGTCGATTCTGACATCTTTAGCCGGTACTCAGGGAAGCACTGTTGTGGAAAAAGAAATCGTCCAATGGGTGAATTCTAAACTCCAGACAGCTGGCAAGACCAGTAGTATAAAAGGATTTCAGGATTACTCAATATCGGATGGGAAAGTTGTTCTCGATCTCATCGATGCCATTAAGCCCGGTTCGGTCAACTATGATCTTGTCAAGGAAGGTGGAACTGAAAATGTAAGGTTTCCGCTTATTATTTCTTAATATTCTTAGAATGCATGTTTTTAGTTAATTATAGGATTTCTTTCGATTGATAACAAACTGTAGTTGTATAAACAATTCCTAGCGAACCGAACTATATATGTATCGATAGAAGCTCTATTAATCTAGTGTTTCGTCTAATAGTGAATTATCTCTTTTCAAGATATCGTCAGATATTTATATGCTCACAAATGTTAACTCATAACTGTAATTAAAAATTTTCTTTATCTTTTTATCTCTCATGGAAGTCCAAAGAAAAGTGAAAGTCAATTGATTACGTGAAAACGTGTTCTAGTCTAAATAGATCAATCTTTTTTGGTGTCTCGTTTTTGACGTAACTAATCGATGACTACCGCTTTTTTGTTGTACAGGAAAGTCTGGACAATGCAAAGTATGCGATATCCTTGGCGCGAAAGTGCGGTGCGCGCGTCTATGCACTGCCAGAGGATATAACCGAGGTGAAGCCGAAGATGGTAATGACAGTATTCGCCTGTTTGATGGCGATGGATTACATCCCGAATATGGACTCTGTAAAAAATCAACAAAACAATATCAATAATGGCCAATAATGTTGGCGTCAACTCGTCATCGTGTTATTCCACCTAACACGTGCCGTTTATCTTTTGTACACAAGAACTTTCGATCGAATTGCGCCACCTCACGCCTTTTTCACGAGCGTAATGCCTGTATATACGTAGATTAAGTTAACTTGTTCTTAAAGAGAAAATATTAAGGATTATTATTACCTCTAGAAAGAATTCATGAGACGAGAAGGGGAACTCCTTTAAAACTCTAACGAGAATTTTTTGAGTCCTGTTATTGGTTAAACGAATATCGTATCAGGTAATATAACAAAGAATATGCCAAGATAGTATTTGGTAAAAGAAATTATATTATCTTAAAATTTTAATATTTTTCGATTAAAATATGCGAATTTTATCATTAGTGTAATACAATTATTAATATGTGAGAGATATAAGAACTCAAAATTTAAAATACTTTTAGTCTCTTGAATGTGGCGATAATAACTTTCTAATTTAAGAATTATAATATTGAAGATGTATGATATATCGAATATCGATACTTTTCGTGCCAGAAAATGTATTTACTTAAAAAGTGAGAAGAGTACAGATTATCAGGAATAAGTTGCTGGAATCGCAGATATTTAGCTCTAAACACTTTTCCATAATATGCGACTGACATGTCTTGCGCGATGTGGAATTCTCCTTCTTGTTTATGTAATCATATCACTCGTTTTCATTCAACTACTTGTACCACATCAAATTTGTATAAATCAATTTTATATATTTAGAACTCTCACTTCACTTAAAACGCAAACAGAAAATATGCTAGAAATCATCAAGAAATATTTAAAGTGCATACTCAAATATATTAATATACAAGAGATTCCGGTCTTAATTTTAATGATAAATTTCTTTAGAATTTTTTTTTGAGTCTATTTATGAGATTATTGTTCATTATATTTTAAAAGTTGCAAAATGATCATTTTCTCTTTTATGAAGAAGTGGCAATTTTTTCTTAAAAGATCAGTTTTAAATAAAAAAATCCCGCATATATTTTGAACAGATCATTTGTCTTACGTGTACTACTATAGAATGAATAATCATTTAACACTCAAATTATACAATACAGTCAAAAATGTATACTTAACGCACATGATTTTTAATATATATATATATATATATATATATATATGTATATAATAT